GGGGTGCTTGCTCACCATTGGGGTTAGTTAAGGAGTCTATTCTGATGAAGCTGGTAGCCGAAGAGGGCCAAGATGATGGATGGGATTTCAGAAGTCAGACAGGCAAAGTGAACAGCATAAGCAAAAGCCCAGAAGCACAAAGCTGTATGTGTTTGGGAAACAGCAAGGCAGTCTAATTTTTCTAGAATAAAGGATGTGACGTGGTAAAAGGTTCAGAGCAGGCTGGGTCCCTATTAGGAAATTTAGTCACACCATTTGCCAAATGCTAATCATTTATCCCCATGAACTATGCTTCTAATTCCTCACAGTGCAAGCAGCTGTCAATAATCAGTATTTGGATATTCATATTTATATTCAAATATCACACTTGAGCAGGGACTTAGATCAGTGAAACGGTTGCAGATACTCATATTCTGATATTCGTAATATAGTTTTCTTACATAAGTCCACTGGCACTTCTTCCTTGTAAAAGGGTAAACAAAGCTTCAATAAACATAACTATTCTCAACATTGTATATTAGCTTCTTGTAATTACTGATGGCTAAATTATGATAAGAAACTTAAATTTGCATGTTTTATGTGTATTTTCATTTAGGAAGCTTGGAAAATATAGAAAAAATTATGGAAAAAATGTGTACGTTTCTTAAATCATTATATTCTTCTCTGCTTCCCTTTCTCTACCACCATGGTAAGCTTGGAGAAAACAGAAAAACAAACATTTTTAAGAGGAAATTTAAAATCACCTACAACCTAAAAACGTTATGGCCTATTACCTTACATTTTTAATGTCATGCTTTATTTTCAAACTGGTAATTTTTCTACTGGTTGTATAAGGAATTGTAAAAATACAGAGACACTCAATGACAAAATTTAGTCAACATCTCACGTCCCCACAAGAAACACACAAAAGGTCATCTGAAAGAGAATTCAGTAAAGTATTTGACTTAGGTTTAACTTATGGATAAATAAAACTCCCAGACAGCTTCATTTAGATTGCTATTTCCTACATCCAGTACTCATATGTGATCTTCCACTTGGTAAGTGTTGGAAAAGTAGATGCCAAGTCACTAAATATGAATTCCAAACTGAAAGAATGTATTAAAGGTCTACCGCTGTGCCTTAAGGTAGACTCAGTGTTTGCTGACCTGAGCTACTTGCTTTTACATCCTCATTTAATTCACCATAAAGGCATCTTTTCTCATTCTCACTTCTAATTTATCTCAATCTTCTATATTTTATATATGCTTGTAACTAACCTTAAATTTATCTTTGCAACCAGAGTATAAACAAGTGGATAGATTATAGAGAAAAGAAGGAGTTTTTTAAAAAGTAGATAGAGAGCCTGGGAAAAAAAAAGATTGTTTCCAAGATTTTACTTACTTCACTACTTGAAAAACGTTAAAACACATTTTTATCAATTAGGACGAACACAGAATACAAGCAATAATCCACAAAAAGTAGTGCGCTGTTGAGCCCAATTCACATCATTCCTGAAGTAGCAATGTGTAAACATGTACTTGCCAAAAGTAGCACTCCCCAAAGGTGGAGAAGCAAAGGAAGAAAAGGAAAAACTGGAGGTGAGGGTATGGGTCAGTGGTAGAGCGCATGCTTAGCATGCACGAGGTCCTAAGTTCAATCCCCAGTAACTCCATTTAAAAAAAAAAAGGAAAAACTAACAAGACGTCAAGATTTAACATGCACCTTGCCCACCCACAAAAGGACTGCAGCTCTCCAAGCTCACACCTGAACTGTATCCTGCAACGCTTCCATTGGTTCTTCCCGCCAATATGTTGGAATGACCCTAAACTAGGTCTCTATGTTTTGAAATAGGAGCTTTTCATGTGCTCCCCTGATACTTACACTCAAACAGAAACCACTGCCCTGGGCTGGCTGCTGGCATTCTAAGACCTGAGACATCTGGTCATGGGGCATCTCCAAGGAAAATGCAAAAAGGGATACTGTGACAGTGTGGTAGCATCAGGTTGTGGTCACATGTTAAAACAACCATGGTCCCCAGAAAACCCCTCAGCCATTGTGAAAGGCAGCTGTTCCCTCCTCAGCTTCCATTCACATGAACATACACATACTTGTACACTGAAACTGTACCTTAATCACCTCATGCTTAGTATACAGTGCTTAGAAGGAGCCCCTATCCAAGGTAGCAACTTGTTTTGTGGAATGTGCTACCTACAACTCAAAGGAGAACCCTGGCACCATAATTCTATTCCATTCTATAAAGTGAACATATTTAGTTGCAGTTGCCATATTTTATAATTAGCCTCAAAATGATTTTTAACTTGATTCCATAATGATTCTCCACTACCAAAATAAGTGTTTTATATACACCGTATATAGTATTCCTGTCAGCAAATTAGATAAAACAGAAGATATGTTAAAAGTGAAGTCAAATGGAAATCCAATTGTTAGATGCACTCCTACTGAAGACTATTTCATTAGACTGCAGATAGACTATGATGATTCAGACTGATGTCCGTATTTAAACTCTTTTAGGAAATGGTTTAACTGAATCATGCTAAAAACACAACAAAAGTAAAACAAGAGAATAAATATTTCTTTTTACCCTGGGAAAAGCTGCACGTGACAGCAGCTGCCATCTTCTGAGGGCACACCCCACCCTGCCAGATGTCTTTTTCACAAAGCAGTATATTTTCTTCATCTCCTCGGCAACGGACATTGCTCCAATAAATGGGAATAAGGCCCAGTCCAGAAAACGGGATTTGTTTTGCTGCTCCTCTTCCTCTGGAAGAACAGTGACTGAAGTTAGGTTTATCAAAGGTAGGTGAATTGTTATCAAGGCACAAGGATTTTTAAATGGAAGAAATAAAGATGGACATGGAAGAAAAAGAAAAACATAATGGACTATGTAAGTTCCAAGGATATCGAAACATCAGATCAGAACTTCGGTTGATTACCCATGGCAATCTTTTTAATTAATCTTGAATAACTAATGGTAGACATGTTCCTTTACTATCTATGGCTGATTTTAGAAGAAATGGGCAAATACTGCAGATAGAAAGAGGGAGCATGAGTGGCTCTGTGGAAGAAGCATGTCCTGTGGCCTCAGTGGGACTTGAATTCCAGTCTAAACTCAGCTGCAGATCACTCTAAAGTCTCTCTAAGCACTGTCTCCTAATATTTAAAAAGAGAAGTCTAGAGGCTTGAAGATTCTTTCCTTCTCCAATATTTTAGGCTAGCATTTTCACAATGATTATTATTACCACATCTAATCAGGATAATACCAATGGAGGCAACCCATTCACATTTTTAAAACCTGCCATATAGTATTTGCTAGAAAGACTTTGAAACCAATTAATAAAATAATAACTCATCTAATCTACGTATTTTAACCTCTGATATGCACAAATTGGCACTAAATGTTTAAAGATTCAATGTTTATCTGAATAACATGGTAATCTCTAGAATTATCTCCATGCAACAGCTTCCATTAACCAAACAGTAACTATTTGGGAAATATCTAAAATATGAATATGTCTTAGCAGCAATAAAACTGGGTTGTTTTGCTCTTATTGTGTAATTCTTTTTTTTGCTTTAATGGGTTACTAAGAGATGACAGAAGCAATGAAGCGATCAGAGTGGCTTATCTAAAGTGCATATTTGCAGAAAGATAGTTTAGGTTCTTCCATCAATCAAAAGAGTAGTAACCTACTGCTGTGGTTCACATCTCCATCACTGTGTTCTTGTTTTCTTACGTCAGACTCTCACAGGAAACTTTTTTCTTCCCTGGTTTTCAGAGGTAATACAAGCACGAGTAGATATGTACAGCCTACAAATGTGTTCCGTCTTCAGGCCCTCAAAAGAAAAGGCATCAAGCCAGCATACCTCGTGACCTGCCCACCTGCTAATGACTGCTTGCCAGACAAAACACTCATTGATAAAAATCAGTAATTAACAACCTAAATACCACAACACTTTATAGGCTCCTGCCTTACTCCTTTTTCTATTGAAGTATAGTTGATTTATAATGATGTGTTAGTTTCAGGTGTACAGTCAAAGTGATTCAGATATACATACATATTCTTTTTCAGATTCTTTTCCACTATCAGTTATTAAAGGAAATTGAATATAGTCCCCTGTTATAGTAGGTCCTTGTTGTTTGTCTATTTTATATATGCCTTACTCCTTCTTTTATCTGATTTATTCCAAACCTCATTCTTAAAAATTAGTTAATTAAGTATATTATCCCTATTTGCTGCTCTAATAGCATCAAAAGTCTGAACAAAACTAATGCCCTCAAGGTTTATCTTTTCTAAATACTCATTTCCCACTTTCCCAGTGGGAAGACAGGAAGCTGGCAAATTAAATTAAAATCCTTACTGATTTGACTGGAGTTGACTAACCTTTTCATTTGTGTCATCACTTTAGATACTGATTATTAATCCAAAATATTTATAAATTGCACATCTTTCTTTCAGTATTTTTGACCCGCATTTTTCATAACAAGAATTTTCCATGCTTTCTAAAGATCTCTGGTGATAAAAGGCCAGGAAAAACAGATGGCATGTCTACTTAGAAAAAAATCAATGAGACACGAAAACAGAACAATAAGAATAACAACAAAAATAAGCCCTTTTGTTCCAAAATGGAAACTTCCGCTTGTGGTGAAGCCCCTTGGCACGAGGCACAAAGGTGCAGGGCCTAGTGGAAGTCAGCGTACATGGATCTGTTTTAAGGAGAGTGTCTAGGGTCTTGGAAAAGCCTGCGGCGTCTCAGGATGGGGGACGCTGCTGGAGCTGAGGGGAGCTGCCGTCTCTCACAGGATCTCCTCAGCGCAGAAACCTGCACCACCCCTCACCCGGTACAGGACAAGAGCGCAGGTGAACATCGCCTCCTGCACACACACAGAAACGGAATGCGTGCGTGGCTCAAGGTTGCCAACTGAAAATTGTCACTCGTCATCTGGTTCTAGAAGAATGAAGTCATGAGCTACCGCAGCCGCAGACCTCCAACACACCCCGAAAGGAGTCAGGGCAGAGATCAGGAATGAGGCATTCGGTGCTCTGGGAAAACTGGAAGAACAGGCCTTCAGATAGTTAGATATTTTCAGGATATTTTATGAGCCTAATTTTTTCTATCTTCTCATATCTAGAAAAGCACTAAAATCATTATTGGTGACATCTGCTCCTTGTGACTAGCAGCAACCTTCTGCCAAAATGTGTGCTTGACTGCATGTACCCCCTTCACTAAAATCATATGCACACCGACCTCCCCCCACCACCTGCTCAGAGCAGTTTCTCAGAGCTATCTGAGAGGCTGTCTCCCAGACCATGGTTCTCATCTGGCCCTAAACAAAACCTTACTTAACTCCCAGATCTCACACTGTGCACTATTTTTTCAGTCAACAGGTAGAAAAATTCCAAGCAACCTCAGGCTGCAAGGGCTACCGAGAAATTACATTTCCTGCTTCCTAGCACTAAACAATTATTTTGTTAAAGTCAAAGACCAAAAGATGCTTTTAACTTTTGACCACTTAGCATCTGCCCATTTCTTAGTCAGCAAGGGTAGTAAAGTGCACGCATATTTAAAAGAACTCACTCCTTCCATTAGGGGCTCTTCCTTCACAACTCTGCAGAGCAGAGAGTGAGGGAAGTGAGAATGAGGAAGGAAGATGTAACCTCTCCACCTTAATGATGGAAACTCAGCGTTGCTCTCCGATGTTAGCAGACTGATTTGGTCAAGGTTGGGGGAACTCACCCCAGCTGCAGCTGGTGACAAATGACCGATGCATCAGAATCATCCCAGTGGCTGCTGCAGACTAAGCCCCAAACTCCATTTGCATAGACTTCCACTGTACCTTCAAACTCGTTTTTGCCACCGCGAAGTCGTACTGACCCTGAAGTGGAAAAGAATCCCAAAATCCTTTAATAGGAAACAATCCTTTGAATACACTGAACCAGTCCTTGGGTAACATGATTTTTCCACTGAAGTGGCAAGAGGTCCAGTCAGATCCAGATTTGGCCTCTACCGTTCACAGAAAGTGTGTCTTTCTTTCAATGAGGATTTAGCAGGCTCTTTTTTTTTTATTTGGTAATTAACATTCTGATGTCAGTGCTAATGATACTTTGTTTTATCTAGGCAAATAAAAAGTCCAATTATAATTTTCAAAGGGGAAAAGTATAAGAGTATGACTAATGTCTAATATTGCATCCCAAATACAAGATCACATCACAAAGGAAGTTCTTACCATTTATGCATCACTCTCCATCTTCACATGAGGTCATAGATAAAAAACACAAACACAATTCAATACTCTGCTTATAAATTAGCTGTTACTGGTTATTATACCTTCCTTCTAACTGACTGGTTCTTCCACTAAAGAAGAATAAAATGCTTTCCCCCTTTTAGCCTCAAGCAATAGTCATGACAATTCTAAAGATTATACCTATCACTTCAGAGAGGGGTTAAGTGTTTAAAGACACTGCCTAATGTTAGTCTCAGAGAAACCGCCACTCAGTAGAGTGCTTTGGTGTAATCGAATGCCCCTGAAAGAACCTTTACTTCTCTTTACATATCATCACCACTTAGCTGCTCCACAGTCCACTATTTGAGTCATTCTTTTCAGTCTTAAAAGAGTCAAAATTAAAATTCAAGCACCCCTAGGAAACATAATATTTTAAGTCTTATCCCTTAAGTGTGGATCGAAGTGGTTACTTAGGCTTATCGTGGTGATCATTTCATAATGCATGCAGATGTCAAATCACTATGCAGTATATCTGAAACTAAAATAATGTTGTTCGTGAAATATATTTCCATTTTTTTAAAATGTGGATCAAAGGCTTACTGTCTCTTCTCATTGGCACTGGTTTGCAGGGCGGGTCCTGAGGGGCAGCAAGTGGGATACCAGCAGAGATAGAGTCAAACTCGGACTACTTAAGAATTTCACAAAATTTTGTGAAAAGTCACTTAGGATGGCCTTTATTTCATATGTAAAGAAATTGAGAAATTAAATTCTACCAGAAATTTCTGGCATGTTTAGCATATTTCAAACTCATTATGTATGGCTTTACAATAACTTTCAAAAAATATTAGATTCACAATTCATCACAAATTTCATTTGCACTAGCCTAGTCATCTACCACTATTATTTTCCACATCATCATCCTTAAAAAATGTAAGTACTTAAGAAAAACATATCCTATTTCTTATGAAAATACAAAGTGTCATTTAATTCAAACAAAAAGCAATAAAAAATGAAGGCAAACATTGCACTGCCAAATCCTGATTTTTCTGGAGAGCACATGGGCTTGGGTCATTCATGTGGCAGACAACCTAAATGTCATTCATATATTCTAAAATTCTTTTTTTTATATTTTTTAAGGGGAAGGTAATTAGGTTTATCTAGTTATTTCTTTTGGTGGAGGAACCAGGGATTGAACCCAGGACCTTGTTCATGCTAAACATGTGCTCTAACCACTTAGCTGTCCCTCCTCCTTTAAACTTCTTTAATTCAGACCAAGCAAGAGAAAGCCCTGTTTAGCTCAGTGAAAAGTGTTAACTATAGAATATATGTCTGAAGAGTTTACCTGAACTTTAATGATTTTTTAATCACAAATGTCTTCTATAGAGACCCACATAATATTATGCACATTACAAGTGCCAGCAGTCTATTTCAATTCAAGGATTTCATTTGGTCAGTTCAAAAAACGTTATTTGAAATAAGATTTAATTTATTATCTGTTTATTAATCCTCTCTCCACCACCAAATTATTCATGTCAAAAGGCTGGAAGAAAGTTCTAGAAAACAAACTGGAACTCTACTTATGCATGTTAAATAATCATAATAAAATGTAAAATACGCCTAACTCACTAAGAACTGGTCAAGAAGAAATGATGCATGTGTATTATTGAAATGAATAAGGTATCTCCAAATGAGATGGAGAAAACTCTGCATAAGGTATAATTGTTACCATAACATCATTATAGTGAAAATGATAGCGCTAGAAATAGTTTCCAGGTCAGCTATCAGTTCCACCATCATTTCTCAAATGCTCCAAACATGCTGTGAAAGCCTGGCTTCATTTAGCTGTATCTGCTATGTGGCAAGAAATGTGGAATGCTCATCCAATTTTCTTTTAACAAATGAATACAAATATTTGCAATTCGGGAAGAGCAATTTGCATGTCAATGACTAATGAATTCTCTGTCAGAATCCATTCCCAACCCCAGCCTCCCCAAAGCACACCCACCCTAGCAGTGCTCCTCCACATAGTTTATCCTTTCCTTAAGGCCATAAACATCTCTAAAATATTCTGAGTAATCATCTACCTTGAACTCAGAGTATTTCTTATTGGTACATAATTCCACAAAGTTCACAATTCTTCTAGTGATTTTTGAAAGAGCTTTTTAAAAATTATCAGCTTGATAATATGCCCAAAACAATAAAAGCAGGAACACACAATTCATACTACATATATTTAAGATAGGCAGTAGTTTTTGTTTGGTTTTGGTTTTACTTTGCTCTTGCTTCATTGATTCTCATAGAATGGTTGCGATGGTTGCAATCTTAAAAACTGTAATTCATTTCCTTCAATTCATGGATGAGGAAGCTAGGCACCCAATCAACTGAGCAGCTGCAGAGCCATGACCAACTATCTCCTCGTCTGCCACCCTTGCCACTGTCCTCTTGTCTCTAAACCTAGCAAAGACCCTGTGATGTAATAAGCATCTTACTTCAGATACCACTTTATGCATTCTGCCATGTTGGCTTTAACCTTTCTTCTTGAAATATTGCAGCTAATCTACCAAACACTACATGGTGACAAACTAGCCAGGCTGAAGCTAAGAAACTTGAAGAGTTTCTCTACACTGCACAGCAGGAGAGAAGTGGCTTTCTGGTGGTCTACATTTGAGGCTGACCCTCCAGGGTATTTGGCCCATGGGCTGTACAAATTTGTAGGAAGACTATACATTTGCACAAATTTGTAGGTGTATAATTACAAGAGGCAATACCCTTAGCTCAATGTGGGGAGAGGGGGATGAAACAATAAAGCAATCCACAAAGGTCATAAGGTCATAGCCTGGTAAACTCATTTCTACTGCTATCTCACTAACAATAAAGTTCTTCAGATACATTCTAGACCAAATTCTTTGGCAAATATTGTTCCATTGTCACAATCTCTTATTGTCAAAAACTGATCCATCCTCCTTCGCTCCCGCATTCCTGCTCCAGTCCAGCACTTTGCAATGTTCTTCACAGTCTCAGCTAACATCTACCAGCTACACCCCAGTAAATCCAGGCTGCACTGTCTTCAAGCCTCCCATGTGCCAATTTGATGGAAAATATTCTATTCTACAGATTCCTATATTTAAAATGTGATAATAACAATAATTTAAAATTTGAAGTCTCAAACAGAGGTTTTAGGTCAACTACAATAGGCATTACAAATTTACAGACTAACCCAGTAATAGAAGAAAGTCTGGAATGATAAAGCTATGCATGGTGGCATGTCATGGAGAGAAGCCCCTAGAGTTCATGGAACAAATTGTTGCAAAAAAAAATTTTTGTAAAACAGTCAGCTGTACCAGTCTGCTGGTATTACAACTACCTAAAGGCAAAGTGTGCCGATGCACAATGCTCAGAATTCTATGACCTTAATTCCCTGTCGAAAACATTGAACTTACTCTCGTTTTAGTTTACTATTATTTCTCCTTCTATGCAAACATACCTCCAGTTTTATAAAGGAAAAGAAACAAAAGATTTTTGTTACAGAAATTCACTTTATGGACAACTCTGCTAAAAAAGAGGAATTCCCAAAACAAAGAGACATTCCAGAGGGCTACTCTTTAACCACATTGTCAGTCTCAATCAATCCAAGGTAGTCTAGAGGACAGCTGACTAGATTAAAGTTCTCTTCACAAGTCTCCTTGGTGTTTAGGTTTTTAAGGCTGTTGGGATGTGTTAAATACTACTCCCCCGAAGGATGTGGAGGTACTGACTTCCAGTGCCTAAGAACACGTCTGACTTTATTTCAAAACAGGGTCTTTGCAGATGATCAAGTCAAGATGAGGTCATTAGGGCACGCTGTAATCCAATATGACTATGTTCTTATAAAAAGGACAGATTTGGACAGAGACACATGTAGGAAGAACGCCATCTGAAGACTGCAGTTACACTCCCACAAGCCAAGGAACTATCAGAAGCTAGCAGAGGGCCCTGGAGCAGACGCTTCCCTAGTGCCTGCAGAGTATGCATGGCTCTGCTGACATTTTGATCTTGGACTTCTAGTCTCCAGAACTGTGAAATAGTAAGTTTCTGTTGCTTAAGCCATCAGTTTGTGGTACTCATTACAGTTTACCTAGTAAACTAATAGAGATATTATGGTATTACCCCTCCTTGGACAGCTGGCAAAACCTCCCTTTTCATACAGCGTACTTCAAGGAGGCCTAAAAGAAATATTAGGAAAGGAAACATAGGTCAGCTATCTTTGTTCTCTAAGTACACCTTTTCCAAAATAAGCCAAATGAAAAGATACGCCTATGTAGTTAACTTCTTAAAATACGCTTACAGAATAGCATTCTCTCATTTGAAGAGGAAAGAAAAACAGCAAAAACAAAGGCCCATCCTCGCAGTGTTTTCTGAGTAGAATTAATAATAAATATTTTTAAAATCTTTTAAAATTGCAATTTGATAAATGAGCAAAAGAAAATTGATGTTATCACACAAACCCTTTCTCATCTATTATGGAACTTCACAAAGGCACAAAATAATTAATTTTAGTCATTTCCGTCATGCTGGTGGAGTCAGAAACGCCTGTGCTGGTGATAGTAAGCTATTGTTCAGATCCTTGGCAAAAAGTATGCTTAAAGCTGAAAGTGATGCATCAATTTCAGTTT